GGCAAAGAATGTTCTAGAATCTCACATGGGAAATGGGCTGGGGAACTTTGCCCCTTGCTGAGCAAGGTTTTGGACCAGAGAAGAGAGAGCATATACTTGAGACTGAGTGGGGATGAATTAGAATAGGTGCTTTGTCTAAAAGCAGTAATAGATTAGAGTATTTTAGGGTACTTTTTGGAAAGATGGAACTTGCTCCAAAAGGAGTTATATGGAGCCATTCACTACTCACCATCCTAGTTAGTAGGCCTGTTTTTTTCATGCAGCATTTGGGAAGAAAACTGTTAAAATGGGTTGATTGCCAAATTTGGACAATTAATCCATATGAATATTTAACAAATTGTTAACCACCTAGCAAGTGCTTTCATATGAGTGAGCTTCTCATGTCACAAACTTCTTTTTCTAAATTATTCATGATCAGCTAAGTTGGTGATTTAAGGCGTTCATAATCTACAGCCTATCAGAAGCCAATTGAATTCCAAAAACCTGAAAAACTTCCCTTGCTAATTAAATCTACACTAGTTTGTGTACTTGAAGAAAGCAAGAGAGTGAAATTCTTTTGGCATACAACATTCAGAACAGCACACATACAATTTGTTCTCTTAAAATACAAGATTATCATAACAAAACTCCCCTCAAAATGGAAGGATATTATGCTAACACTCGCACTTGAGAATGACATTGTTTTATTAAAAATTAGAATAATTACTAATAAGCTTAATATCTTATTCTACAAAAACAGCTTGAATTTGCTGGAGCTCATCTCGTGTCCACATCTGCGGACTAGAGTAGAATCAACTCAAATCACTTCATCTTTCCTCGCAAATAGATTTATACGGTGAAACCTGTTTCACGATTGGAATTAAGGTTCAACTATAGCAACATCTCAGCAATCTGAACATCATTAGTATTTTATTTTTTTTTAATTTATATATAATCATTCTATATGTTATGTTTGGCGACAATATTCGGCTCATGATTGTTATTTGGGTCTAGTGCTACGGCTTGATTACTTTTGCGCTCGAAAACAAATTGTTTGACGAATATTGTTATTTGGGTCTAGTGCTAACATCTCCATACCCGAAAATTGTCAGGAAATAAAAATAGGTAGATATGAAGCAAAAAGACCAAGGAAAAGGAAAAGGGGAAGAAAAAAAATGGAAAAGAGAGAGAAGGAATCAACAAGCCAGAATAAGAGAAAAAACCAAAAGGAAAGAGAGAGAGGAAAGAGGGATAAAAGTGGCAAGGAGTCACGTGATTAGATATGGGTGGTATTGAACTCTCTATAATTATTTTGGACTCGGTAAAATTGTTTGGACACCCTATTTTTTTTCACACCCAAGCCTAATTTATTGTACACAAGAGCCTATTTTTTTAGCAATAGATGGTAATTGTTTTTACATCTACTAATTGATTTGTTATTTATTTATTTATGAAAATGCATTTGGTTCATATATATTTTTTTTTATTTGATGGATGATTATAACATGATGGATGCAATATTAATTTTGCTATTTATATTATTTTAATCATCGTATCCATGCCATACATGTATCCTAGTTTTTGGAAATTTTCCGTATTGACGTACCCATACCCATATCCATGCAACGTGTAAGTTCTGCCTACTTGACTTCTAAATCCTGGATCTACCACTACTTAGCCTGATCCAACGATTAAGAGATAGGCTCTCACCTACGGACCTTACCTAAGAGTCATATATAAGGCTCTCACTATAGAATGACTTATAGGGCTCAGAGTATCCTAGCCCCAATATAATAACAGGCCCAAATTAGTAATCTCTAACTAACAGTCATTTTGTGAAATTCTATAATGAGGCCTTTATATATGGACTATATAAGCGGACCATACATTTCCGAACGGCTAAAACTAAGTCATCATTTGAAAACCATATATATGGACCTTATTATATAACGACTCCAATAGTTTTACAGTGCATCCATTGGGTCAAGACCTTAGGCCTGTGGCTTCCCAATGTCGGAGTACAAAATTATTTTGACTTCAATCTATGATTTAAGCACTATTGTAACTTCCATCACATCATAAAAAATTGAAGCACTATTACAAAAAGGTTTTTTTAAAAAGGGTAGAATGACCATGAAAGACAAATTTTATCAAAACATTTTGCTGAAAAAAAAAAAGTTAGAGCATGAAAGCAATATAGCAGGAAGTAGGATGAGATTCCAATTATTCAGCGGCAGCGTCCTAAACTTCAATTTGCTTTAGATCGAGCAGAAAGCTGAAGTTATTATGTATATGCCAACTTGAAACTGAACATAAACCAAATTAAAATCAAAGTTAGGAACTTGCAGTCCAATAGGCATAATCTTTATCCTTAAATAGAATGTTGTTGTCTAATAAAAAAAGAAAGAAAACTAAACGCTAGCATTGTTGGTTTATTCATTGACGCAAATTTTCTTTGAAATAAAATTCTCAGTTATATATGCAAAGGTGGAATCTAAGCTACTGCCAACATCAATCATAAATCACTATTACTAACATCAACTTTTGAGCTTTAAACAAATTACCCAAGCTGACAAGTTAATTTATAACACTTCTCTTCTCGAAAGCATAAACTTCAGCTCGCTTAGCAATGAAAAAATTTGCATAACTTACCTCAGATTTGGATTTGGATGTGGATTTGAATGACTTGGGTTTGACAGTGCAAAGCTAGGGTAACAAAATATTATATTATATATTTATTATTTAAAAATAAACATATAAATATCAGGTCCGGTTCGGGGACAGGGATGTCAATATCATCACCGCCCCATACTCGATGGGGATTTTTTAAATTCGAGAATCCCAGTACCCGATTCTCGTTTTGCCTCGAAATCTTTCCCCGTTAGGGCCGGGTCCTAGTTGTATCCCCGCCTCGATGGGGATTTCTACCATCCCTAATTGAGCCTTGTTATTTTTAAATCCATTTTTTGGTAAGTTTTGTTTCATAGTTCCATTTTTTGGGTAAATTTTATGAGTCCATTTTTATTCATCTGTTTCCCTAATTTTATGCTTTATTTTCTCCTGACTTTAAACAAAATAAAAAATTAAGTCAGACCATATGATGGGTAGACAATAATTGATGAGTTTAAGCCGACCAAAGAAAAGGAATTTTTATAAAAAAAAATATAAAAAAGGGAATCACTTTATAAAAAAAGAATAAGAAAAAAGGTATCAAGTAGGTTGCTTAAACTCTTCAAACACCAGGAGCAGATGAAGCGTAGAAGAATATGGGCATGAAGCATATGCTCAAGCTTGCCACGTTGCAAACACGAATGCGGGCATTTCCACGAGCCTACAGACACAAAAGTCACGTAGGCATATCGACCAAAAAAAAATGTCACATAGGCACATATACACCCTCCTCAACCGTATAAGTTATAACCTAACGCGTCAATATTTCGACAGTGCCCTCGCATTAGTCCTCCCTGGACTCCTTTTTCGTCTACATAGAACATCACGATCCACGTTGTCGATTGCAAAGTAGGAGACGCAGTCCTTTGTCTACGACTTTCGACGTCAAAGCTTCAATACTCAAACCACAAACTGTGATGCGGTTGGTAAATTGTCACTTCTAATTGACGAGTTATTTGGTGTCTTAATGGCAGGGGTTCGAAATCTGTTAAAAACACTTTGTGGTCAGGAGCAAGCCGAATCTCGAGCGGAGATTAATCCCACCCTTCAGATATGGGGACACCTCGTAGTATTTATCCACAAAAAAAAACCTTAAATACTCAACTTTCATTTCATGCTTATAATACAGCAAAAATGAGTTCATGCTTATCATATTTATTATTTATTTCACGCATCTTAATTGTCTTAATTGCTCATGCAAGTCTCTTAATGGGTAAATTCATACAATATCAGGCAATTTCACATAAAAAATAAACAAGCAATAATCCCTCATCAATCCGTAGAGATATCTGTCCAATAGTTTTTGTGATACACACTTGACATATATTTGACTAAAAAAGCAATTAAGTTTCCTTAATAAGTTAATATTCATGCATTTAATTTGGACCCTGCCTACTGAGAAAAACTTAGTTGCAACAGCTATCTCCGACCAATAATACTATGCCACATGGAAGTATTATCACAAGTGTCATAACATTATTTGCCGGGTTAATAAAATAGTGATATTCCTATTTTATGGACCTCCTCAAAGTCAAGCGAAGCTATCTTTGGAAATTTCATATTATTTTTTTAAGGGACAAAGGATTAAAAATATTCGTCATTTTCTTCTTGTTCACAAGAATCATCCATTTGCCCTAATTTCACAATCATCAAAAAGAAACTTTTTGATCACCCCATTCTCCAGAAAAAAGAAATGTATAACTTGGCCACTAAGTTTCTAGGGTCTATCCAATCCAATCAAGCCAAGTCCAAGGTAAAATTTTCATACACATTCATCCTTTGTTTTGCTGGCAAAAATTTCATTGAATTTTAGCCAATCTCACTGCTCTTATAAAACGACCTAGAATTCTTGTGACGGGAAAGGAAAACGAGTCCCAAGGCAAATAAAGTTATATGCATTAATTACCTTGATTTGGTACATGTTTATACCTAAATTAAAAGAAAATCCAGTCAAATGAAGAAATCCTTGAAACAAGTGTGGAAAGGCCGGTCGCTTGCCCAGCCACCCAACTACCTATACCCTCTCTCTCTCTCTCTCTCTCTCTCTCTCTCTCTCGGACTTGCCAAGTTGCCATTGTTCTTTGACCAAAGATGACCCAAATTGTAAGTGTCTGCATTAGAAGACCATTAATCAAATTAATGATGACGATGCCTAGCCTCTATTAGTTCCCAAATAAAATTAGGGGGTCATTTGACCCACTCCACCAATAAGAAGATAAATAAATAAAAAATAGAGAATAATAAAAAGGGTCAAGCAACCACCATGGTCAATATGGTATTGTTGATCCAAGTTTAAAAGGGGTAAGTTTGGGAGAGCCGTCTTAAAATTGATTCATACGAAGAAAGTCAATTACTGTTAATAGTGCCCTTGGGCCGCAGCACCTTCTTTTCTCATTGCTCATGAAGAAATCGTGTCTTTTTCGTTTCTCTCCGTATTTAAAGTATTCAATACATTCGTAACTCTTCAAGAAAACAGATACGCAAGGCCTAAGGTGTGATCAATTTCTTGACGCCCTAAGCAACCAAAAAACAGAAAAGAGCTTGTGTTGTGCGAGTCTTCTTGTGAAGCTAATATGGCCAGAGATATGGAGCACAACAACATCAACACAGACGAAAACAACAGCAACAACAGGAACATGGATGAAGAGGGCAGCTACATGGGGGTGCCAATTCACAGCCAAGTGATGAAGATCAAGCAAGAGTTTGAGAAAATCAAGCACCCGTCTCTGGAGCAGCCTGCAGAGCTGCGACTGAGACGTGTCCTTCTCCGCCATATTACTCACCAGCGTTCGCGTTCTCCGCTGGGATTGGCTGCATAGGGAGGGAGGGATGGGGGTTGCCCTGCCTCAGCTTGCATGGTTATGGTGGCGACGCTTTAGATATTAACTTTTTTGTTTTTTGTTTTTTTTTATATTACTGTTTTTCTTGCTTTCTGGTTTCTACCACAGCAACCATGAGAGTTTCGGTGTTTTGGGGTTTTACTAGTTTAGTTGTACAGGTAGGAGTTGGTGGGAATCTCAAAGGCATAGTGAAACTTTTCGTTTCTTGGTTAATTTATGAATAGATTCCTTTAAGTTTTGCAGTTATGATCTCATACATCATATTTTCGTTCTACCCCTAGACTTTCCCTCTTCATCTATGTGTTTGTCATGCGCATGCACATGAACAACCACCAACATATATAAAACCTAATCAAATTTTGAGGATTAATCTCTGTCCTTTGTTTTTCTCATAAGATCTTACGGGAATTTTCGAAATGTTCACCAACCCTGTAATGTTTATCGAGTTTTAAAGCTGTGACTATTAATACTAGAAAACCCAGTCTATTCAAAATTCTATAAAGATACTAAAGAGCAGAAAGTGATTGCATAACAAAGTAGCAGAAAAGAACGAAGGCAACAAACATGTATAAGAGACAGTTGTGTGCTCTTTGATAAATAATAAAAAAGACAGTTGCGTGCAGACATGCCACCTTTAGGATGATCCCTCTACCACAACAATTTAGCCTTGAGCAATGGCTGTTTCTTTTGATACTAGTAATTTCACCCTCCTTGTGAGATCTCTCATCACATCTATAATGACAGATTTCTTCTCAATTCGGAACTGGATAGCCAACTGAGTAGAATCTGAAACACCCTTTTGCAACAGGGACTCATCCTCCATGATTTTGGTTGGGAAGTGTCCCAGTGCAATCACACATAATGCAATAATGGTGCGAAAAGCAGCTAACTCATTTGCTACACCAAGGGGAGCTTCAACTGAAATAGATTTAAGTTTATCTAAATCATGCTTCTGAACTGTTTCCATGTCACTGGCAAGAACAACTCTTAAGGCTGCCAACAAGCGCCCCTCAACCAACTCCGAACCCCCTAAGCATACCTATTAGGCAAAACAAGAGATGAAAGGTTAAATACCCAATTTGTGTACCAGAAAGTCTAAAGAGGGAAGTCTTTCATAAATTTAGTACAACTAACATGATCAATCTGATAGCAAGTTTAGATCTCTAACTATGCTCATGGCCAACAAAAAGTTTGAAAGGTAAGTACTAGGGACCAGATAGTGAAAGAGTGATTCACATGCATTCTTCTAACTTCCTCAGAGCTAAATGCCACAAAATTTCTTCGGGTGATTTTGCTCTAGAAATTGAGACAGAAAAACGAAAAATTGTGAAACATCCAGCACAATTCATAACGGCCGACGACCTTTACATAAATCTGCAGATTATTTGTAAAGCATTTACAGCGAAACACAGATAATATGCATGCAATATATTTCAAGCCACCAAAAGCCAATAAGCCATTTCCATCTAACCACCCAAATACAGCATACAAGTACCAGAGTTTTTCTTCAAACTAAAACTGAGAAATTATATGAATAAAGTTTGCTCCAACCCATGGTGAACATTCATTGATCGAAATCAAATTATAAAGCAGGATAACAGTAACAATATGTTTTCAGGAAAGTAGAAACCTTAAGAAGAGGAGCTTCCCCATCTAACTTTAGCTGGCATAAAATTTCTTTCTGCCATGGAGATGGTGCAGAGAAGTTGGGTGATGATACTCCAGCAGCCATACTTGCAGCATCCAGAAGCGCTCCGTCATATTTCAGCTCAATACAATCATAGGGGTTTGATGGAATCACAAATCCATAATCCAGCAGGAAAAGGTCATTATTTAAACACCCATAGTTAAGTACTAAACAATCGTTCTGTTTGATCCCAGTTTCTGCCACAACCTGGAATGAGAGAGAATCTTGATGAGTAAAGAAACTTGCAATCCCTGTTGGAGAATTTCAGAATGAAATTAAAGAAACAAAAAGGCAAATAAAACCTTTACTAGCATCTTCATGTCCCTGTCATCTTGGTCCTGAAGTATTATGGCATTTGGCTTGAAACTATGGTTGCACATGTCGATGAGAGGAAGCATCATCGGGACATCATTGTTGATCTCACCTGAAAGCGTTTTACCATATAAACGGAATGCTCGAGACGAAACTGCTGACATTGCCCATCCAAGGGAGGATGCATCTACAGCTTGGCCACCAAAAGGGTGATCATTTGGTTTCAAATTTTCTAGAGCACATTTGACTTCTTGTTCAAAATCAAGAAGAAATCTGCATCTCTTGTTCACCTGCAACAGGGAATCATTAAACCTTCAAAGCTTGCCGTGGAAATCAAGTGGTCGTCAAGATAAGAATCTTAACAAAGCTATATTACAAGGCCTTCAAATCAAGCTATTGAACGTGATGTGCCTCCATGTGTGAGACTTTGTCTAACTCCCAAATTTAGGATTAAGGAGACTGATTGAAGTGTGTTATTCTGTTCTTTAATGTCCTAAAGTAAAAACAAAATGTATGTGGGACAAAGCATACCCAATAGCAAAGAAGGCAACCTAGAGGCTAACATATGGTAAACTAGAGGACATGTCTATCTCTTGGTTTAGGGATCTCACAGAAAGTTCTCTGACAAATAAAACACACATTGTTTCTTCTAGTCTGCTCAAGGGACATTGATAGGCAGGTACATTGCATGGAGCTCCAGCAATCCTCCAAATTATTGAACACAATTTACAAAAATGTCCAAGTCAGGATTCAGCCAACCCACTCCGAGCCAATGTCCAACCATTGACATAACCCACAATTTTCTGAGATATCAGAATAGCTATCCTACATTTTAAATACAACACAAACTAGAGAGGGAAGGACTAGGGAGGGAGGTCTTATACGTTCCTGGCATATTTTTCTTTGCAGGTCTTATATGGTTTGATATACAAGACCTTAGCTTGGCAGAAAAATTGACATTTATGTGGTCAAATAAGGTACCTGGTAAAGAAGTGGAGCATATTGCAAATTCTTTATGTCCTCGCCAGGGAAGAAGATGGGTATATTGAATGTTTCAGGGAGGCTGCTGATGTATGGCCACCAGAAGGATCCAGTTTTTGCTCTTTCTTGCAGAAGCTTCAAACCCAATTTCATTGCCCAAAGTTCCTCTGCCAAATGCTTCCACAGTGTTCGATTTACTCATATTCAAAACTCAGTACAGCCTAATGTACAAAATTTTTAAGTTACCAACCTATGCAGATTGCAGAGTAAAGTAAACCTAATGCTACAGTAAAGTAGTAGGGTCTTGACTGAGAAGAACACAGAATGCCATGTGCTACACTAGTGACTTGAGCATTCCAAATACCATGGCAACGATACTTCAATTCCAACTTACTAGCATGCATGTACATCAAAGTTCAAGCTTTACTGCTATTTTGAACCAAATGAGAGGTGCCACTTACAATTCTACAATTGAACACCACTAAAGTGAAAGCTAGCAAAATGCGAAATACCCATTAACCAATTACACCGAAATACGAGCATAAACCTAATAAAATGGGAAAGCCAAAGAAAACTTACCAGGAACATGGCGAGCCAAATTGACGAGAACAGAGTCAAGCCCACCATCTCCACCCTCTGATTCAAGAGAGCCAAATCTCAAAGGTACGTGCTCGGGAAGAACAATTAGTTCAGAACCTTTCGGGATTTCCTCTGAAGCCACCAGTCCAAGACCAAAGGAACTATCTTGAGCTATCTTCACGGCTTCGTGCACGAACCCTCCTTCCCTACGAACCCACTTGATCAGGTCAGGTGGATATGGGGCCAATCGCCCAGGATAAGAGGTTGAGGTTGAGGCAGCGCAAGTTAGAGGGCGGAAGGCGGTGAGCGAAGCCATTACCATCTTGGAAGCTGCCATGGTCGAGCCACTTCAGTCCTAGTGCAAAGAAAACTTGAGAGGATTTAAAATTTGAGCAGAATGGATTGATTTCCAGGAAAAATTAGGGGAAAGTTCTCAGATTACCCAAAAAAGTAGGAAAATTAAATTATCGTTGTCGAATTTTGGCGGGGATAATTTCGGGATTTCAATTGCTTTGTAATTTATTTTTCTATAGCTTTTTGAAGTCGAAAACGTACTCACATACCCTAACCTGCCCTGCCCCTATTGATATTTTAGTGGCTCATTTTTCAGATTGGCTTATACTTGGAACTTGACCACAAGGGAACAATTGGGCTTAGAAAATGCTCTTGGTGTTACAAATTACAATGGTGTATTTGGGTTTGGGAACACTGAAATGAGGTCATGACGCCACCTCTCTCACGTTAGATGGTAGAAGGCCATGAGAGGCGCATCTCCCGTAGGACTTGCCTCATTCATGCAAGTGGCCATATGACATTTTCCATTCACAAAGAAAATTGATTATGGGAATAGAAAGCTTTTTACTTTCATTTCTTCTCACCTGCTGTTGTATGTTACTCGACCCAAAAAAGAAAAACTCACATCACATGTTACATTATTTTCAAATCCATGAGCACATTTTGAGGACAATCACTTTTAGAAAGAAAGAAGTTTTTTTGTTCTCCATCTAATAAATCGGCATTCCATCAATGGCCACTGGCCCCAACAGCATTTCCTCACCCCCACTGATGAGAATTTGACTTTGTAATGGCATTGAGCTAAGCTAGTTTCCAGTTGCAACACAAGAGATTAAGAAAAGAAAACGCCATTTAAATATATAAAATATAACCCAGTGAACTGACTATATCAACAAGATCAAATTCAAGTCATGAATGAAAATTAGAAAGTACTATTAACATTTGAATATGGTTTAGATTGGAATTATTATACAAGGATGAAAGATGAAAATGTCAACATGATCATGAAATACTTTAATCATATAAAAAAAATTCCTTCAACTAATGAGATCACAGATGCCTTAAACTAATGAGAAGAATGAATCAACAGGGAAAAAAAAAAACAAAAGTGGAATTGAACTAATATTCGGGTTGATGTTGATCAAACTGCAGCAGAATCATTATAACGCGAGCCCATCATCATCATGACCTTAAACTCCTCAAAATTGATCATACCGTCGCCATCGCTGTCGACCGCACCGATCATCTTCTTGCACTCAGCGATCGAACACTCGTCCCCCAAGCTCCTCAGCACTTTATACAATTCCTCGGCCGAAATCGACCCATTCCCATCAATGTCGTAGACCGAGAAAGCGTCTTTCAGATTCTCCAGCGCCTCGGCCTGGTCGACCCCGTTGGTGTTGAGCTCGACGAACTCTTTGAAGTCGATGAAGCCATCGCCGTCGGAATCGACCTCTAAGATCATGTGGCTGAGCTCCTCTTCGTTGGCTGGCTGGCCCAGGCTGCTCATGATGGCTCCGAGCTCGGACGACGAGATCTTGCCGTCGCCATTGACGTCGAATTTCTTGAAGACTTGGTCGAGTTCGGCGATCTGAGCGCGCGAGTTGAAGGATGGGGATCGCGAGGGTGTGGTCGTGAGTGGGAGGGCTGTGGCTGATGGAATGGATTTCTTCTTCCGGGAGAAGAGGGATTTGAAACCCATCTGGATTTGAATTGAAACGACTCTGAGAGAGAGAAAAGGTGAAATGAAAGACGAATTGAAGAAGAAGATAGTCAATGTGAGATTCAGATTTCTAGGGTTGTGTTAAATTTGAACAGGGGGATTTTTTTTGCTTCTTTGTTGTTTGGAGATTCAGGGATTGGGATTGGGATGTTGGTTGCAGGTTATTTTATAAGGATGTGAAAATAAGTAAATGAGAGAGAGAGAGTTTGGTTAGGGATTGGGAAATGGGGGAATTGGGGATTGGGTGAATAACTGAATGCGGAAGACGAAAACAGAATCCAACTGAATCTTAACGCCTATTTCTCTGTCAATGGCTCATCAATAACTCAGATGAATGTGGTGTGGTGGTTGTCGCTAATTTTGGGAGGAGAGAGAGAAGATTGCGCGTCAATTGATGAGTTACAGTCAGTTACACTGCATACACACCAACTCAATGACTCGGTGGATGCCAACGGTAACGATGGATCCCACGCGTCACCGACTCAACCAACCATTTGAGAATGAGTAGATGGCACTAATTAAACAAAAATCACATCAAACAAACCAGGCGTGACTTTTTTAGAATTTAGGGTTAGCTTAGCCGCATAATATATTTAGGGTAATGTTAGGTTTATCATATTTATATACTACATTGTAGGGGTGGGCTCGATTTGGATTGGTTTGATTTTGGACTCAACCCAAACACCGAATTGTAGGCCTTGATTTGGCTATTTTAGAAACCGATACCAAATCATAATTGATGAAAACCGACCATTTTGGTTAACCGGACTTGGCGGGTTGGGTTGGTTTGGTTCAGTTTGAGTTTTTTGGCTTTCAGAGAGAGAGAGATGGGAAATAAAAGTGATGGAGAGAGGGAGAGATGGAGAGAAGAAGAAAAAAAAAAGAGGGAGAGATGGAGAAGAAGAGGAGAAAAAGGAGAGAGGGAGAAGAAGAAGAAGAAGAAGGAAAGAAAAAAAGGAAGGAGTGAAGACAGACAGATGTAAGAAGAAAAAAACATAAAAACAAAAAAAAAAAAGCCAAGATGCATGCGTGTGTTGGGGGTTTAAAAAAATTTCAATTAGGCATATGTGTTGGCATGCCCAACCTTAATTTTTTTTTTTTTACCTCTTAAAACTATGTATTATATATTATAATAATATTATATATATATATATATATATATTTTAATACAATCGGTTTAGTTTGGTTAAACTGTGGTTTTGAATATTGTAAACCGTACACCGAATCATATATTTCGGTTTGGTTTGAGTTCAAACCGATGACCCAAAAAAGATTGGAAAAAAACCAAACCAACCCAAACCATCGATTTGGTTTGAGCGTTGACCAGGTTACTAGTTTGAATGCCCAGCCCTACAATATTGTGTACCATCTTTCTAATAGAAGTAAAGCCCACCAATACAATGAGACTTACTTCTATTAGAGAGGTAATACACAATGTGGTAAGCCTAACATTTTCCATATATTTATAGGGTTGTCGATAACTTTATTTATGTGGGGGTCCGAACAATAAGAGGTAAGAATTGTTTATATCCATATCGATATTGGATATGGATTATAAATTAATCCATGGTAAGATTATTTTCCTGACATGTTTTATCCTTATCGTTGTGGGTTATTGAGTCAATCAAGCCTTTTGGTTGGTTATACACTTTGCAAGACTTGATATAGGATGCTGATTTGAGGAACCTGATGTTGATACTCACAAATATGTTTAATGGATATAACAGAACAAGATTTGCATAATTTCTTTGATTTCTTTTCATTTTTATTGTTTTGTATACGGAAGTAAAGATAAATATTTTTCCGAGTAATGCTTCTTACCACATTATGTGACAGATAAAGTAAATAGTCATATCAATTAAAAAGTGTGAATAAATTATAAAATAAAAGAAAATAATAAATTAATTTTAATTGATGTGGTTGTCCACATGAAATGGTAATCTCTTTTCTTTTTTTCTTTATCATATGAGAATATGGTATATAAATGTGATAAAAATGCATTATTCTATTTTTCCTCCACATAATATTATCGTGGAAAATGAAAACTTCGCAATTATTAAACTTTATGGCCAAATTTAACTACCATGATAAAGATATTCATGCTTTCCCAATTGGAGATTACCATTTCATGCTTTATGGTAATCTCTTTTATTAGTATAAAAAAAAAAAGAAAAGAGATTACCATTTCATACCAAATGATGCAACGTGTTACATTTATTAATAACGATACTTTTTTTAATAAATACAATTACAATACGTTAATGATGGGTGAGTATGATGTAATGCCAAATGCTAGGGGCAAAATTGCACTCCTGAAATTGACTTGAAATTGGAGGAGAATCTTAAGGTCCCCTCAACAGTCAACCCCTCCCTCCCTTGGCTCCGCTGCCCGCACATGATGTCCTCCCAAAAGGACCCCACTTTACAGTCTACACCACTATTTAAATCAATCAATCTCTGTCCCAAATTAAAAAAAATACACCATTAATCAATCAAAATTGAAAAAGTAAAAATAAAATCAATACTGCCAAGAAGCCAATATCTGAATTGAAAGACAGAGCACTGAAACCCCGCACCTCATATATCACCATATCATACCCTCTCCTCTCGACTCGTTTACAGTTATATCTGGTCGGCTGGTCTTCCAGTTCCTCCTCCTCTCTCTGCTGATGAAGGGAAGCTGAGACTTTTTGAAAGATTTAATCTTTTTAACTCCCACGAATCACAATGGACTCAAAGTCTGTGCGTTTCCTTACCCACCAATGTTTCTTCTCCGCCGTTCGATCCGGCGACCTTGGGTCGGTGAGACAGGTGGTCGATAAGCTCACAAAGGACGAGCCCTCAAATGGGTCCCTCGTCTCTGATCTGATGGCGATGCAGAACGATGCAGGCGAGACTGCCCTGTATGTGGCTGCAGAGAATAATCTGGAGGAGGTGTTCAGTTACTTGCTCCAGTTCTGTAATATAGAGATTGCAAAGATCAGGTCCAAGCATGATATGAACGCCTTTCATGTTGCCGCCAAGCGTGGCCACTTAGGTATTGCTTTCTAACTGTTACTGTGCTTAAGCTTTGCTTGTGTGTGCGCGCGCGATGATAACTGATTGGGTTGAATTGCTTGGTTATTTTTATGCACGCTGAAGGAAGGGTATTTACAATAATTAATAATAATTTCCTTCCAAGAGTGAATATTTGAGATTAGTAAGAGAATCAAATTCTCTGTACTGCAAGCAGAATAATTCCCAAGTCTGACATGTTGAAATTCCTTTGTTTTTTTCCTTTAAAAAGAAATTTCTTTTGGTTTGTTTCCATAAAGGAGTGTATTTCGAACTGAAGAACCAAAAAGAACTATGATTTTGATTTTGACATATTTTGAAGGGAAGCTCAGAAGAAAAAAAGTCATCTCCTCAAGTATATGGTATATGTTTGTAGGCCAAGGGAAATAATAAATAATCACTGATAAATTGCGTATCGCTAACCTGGGAAAGATGATAATTTTGAAGGTCTTGTTTGTCTTAATCTGCTTTGCATATACTGAAGCTACTATGATATATCCTAGAGGTTAATGCATAAGAAATTTTGCAATCTGGTGGCCATTTTGAGTTGATTTCTGTGTTTTCCATGCTATATGTATACGGTAATCACTGCAGTGGTGAAAGGATTTCTTTTTTTATATATTTATCTGGAATAGGGTGTTGACTGTTATTTATTCAGGTATTGTGAAGGCACTATTGGGAATTTGGCCTGAGCTATGTAAATTGTGTGACTCGTCAAACACTAGCCCTCTTTATTCAGCTGCCGCTCAGGACCATTTTGATGTAGTTAACGCCATCTTGGATGCCGATGTCAGCTCAATGAGGATAGTGAGAAAAAATGGTAAAACTGCGTTACATACAACTGCAAGGTATGGCCACCTCCGTACTGGGAAAGAACTTATAGATCGAGATCCAGGAATAGTCTGCATAAAAGATAAAAAGGGTCAAACTGCACTCCATATGGCTGTAAAAGGTCAGTGTACTCCGATTGTAGAGGAGATTTTGCTTGCTGACCATTCTATACTGAATGAACGCGACAAGAAGGGCAACACAGCTGTGCATATAGCCACGAGGAAATGCCGTCCCCAGGTATCTTCATGTTGGCATTTTATTTACGGTAGAAACACATGAGCTCATGAAATCCTTATCATTAATTATTTCTGCCCACTTTCCATTTGTGCGTATTGCCATTCCGTGTAGGATGAAAATGAATCAGCTCATGAAATACTTGTCATTAACTATTTCTGCCTTCCCTTGCATTTATCAGTTGCTTTTACTTACCTGGTAACCGTAAATCTAAACTGGATTAGGAGCTAGTTCATTCTCATGGCGATTCCTCTTGCAGCATCAATAAAGTAGCCAAGGAATCATGCAAGAAGATACCAAATAAATATTTAAGATTAACCGGCTAATACACCAAGTGCCTACATGCTTAATTGATAAAGCATCTGCTTTCTCGTTGTATGTCAACCCTTGGCTATATTGTGAGCCTGTTTTTCCTCATTGAAAGGCTTCGAAGAGGAACCAGAAAGTATTTAAAGGAATATATAACTATAGTATTACATCCTCAAAGTCGATTCTTGACAGCATCTGAGGAAGAGCTTATAATATAATGCCTTGCTGGTGTGAGTCCAATGGCATATGTTTGTGTATTCTTTTTTTTTTTCTTTTTACTCCCGTGTTGAAGTTTTACCCTCTTTCTTTCAGATAGTGGGCGTTCTGCTGAGCTATAGGACTATTGATGTCAATGCCATTAATAATCATTATGAAACTGCAAAGGATTTGGCAGATACACTACCATATGGAGAATCAACATTGGAAATTAAAGAAGCACTAGCGGAAGTTGGTGCCAAGTATGCAAGACATGTTGGCCAAGTGGACGAAGCGATGGAACTGAAGAGAACTGTGAGTGATATCAAGCATGAGGTGCAGTCACAGCTTATACAAAATGAAACAACTCGACGACGAGTTTCTGGTATTGCCAAAGAACTAAAGAAACTTCATAGAGAAGCTGTCCAGAACACTACCAATTCTATTACAGTAGTTGCTGTTCTGTTTGCGTCGATAGCCTTCTTGGCCATGTTTAACTTGCCTGGCCAATATGTAAAGGAAGGACCGGAAGCAGGGATGGCTAACATAGCTGATAGTGTTGGTTTCAAAGTGTTCTACCTGTTAAACGCTACGTCTCTTTTCATGTCGCTAGCAGTTGTTGTGGTTCAGATCACTTTGGTGGCCTGGGAGACAGGGGCTCAGAAGCAAGTGGTGTCAGTGGTTAACAAACTAATGTGGGCTGCCTGCGCTTGCACTTGTGGGGCTTTTCTGGCGATAGCCTTTGTGGTCGTCGGAGAGGGGAGTTCATGGATGGCTATTACCATAACCGTTATGGGAGTGCCAATGCTTGTTGGAACTCTTGCAAGCATGTGCTACTTTGTTTTCCGGCAACACTTTGGGGGTTTCCGGCGCGACTCTCAACGGCGCATCAAAAAGGCCAGCGGAAGCAAGTCCTTTTCGTGGTCAGTCTACTCGGCAAACATCTCAGATCTTGATGATGACTACAACTCCGACCTTGAGAAAATCTATGCTTTGTGAACACTAATATACAGTATTATAGTATTAGTAGTATACATATGAGTTGTTTTAACACGTTTTCCGCCCAATGTCTTGTTTAGCTCTTCATCTATCTGTTGAAGTAAGAGTTGTTGTTCATAATTAAAGGGGTGCTGCTGTAATCTTGGTGCGCGCCAAGCTAAGTTGTTGGCTTTTTGCCCTGTACCTCTTAACTCTAGCTCTTTAATTCACAGTTGATTGTAGATTATGTATATTGTATTTGTAAATGTAGATTGCGGTGATACCAATAATATGTAAAATAGTACTCAATACTTAATTGATTTGCCACATTACATTCTAATAATGCCCCAAATAATTTTTTATTTATATTTTTCCCCTGATTTCTCTAAAACTACTACTGTACTGTAATAATTTTCCCATAACAGAGCGGGATGATCAGTCAACATATCGTAACAGAAAAGAAAAACTTGAAAATAAGTGTCAGTTAATTTTCAGCGTAATCCGTCAAAATTTATTAATAGAAAAAAAAAATCCTTGAAAATCCCTTTGATTATGGGTATGATTAATAATCAAAGTAAGGAGAACAGTTAGTGGGTCGGGTTCCTCTCATTTATTAAAAGAAAACAAATGTATGTCGAAGCAGCCATTGTTGTTGTTAATGGCAGGGAAACCTAGGCTGCCTGTAGCAAGCAGAGGTTTTTCTCCACTCTCTGTCTGCTCTTCTCCACCCTCTGCCGCTGCACGCCGTCATCACCACTCATTGTCGCACACTGCCATCCAAAGCTTCAAATCACTCAGGTACCGTCTAAACTTTTAGTCTCTGAAAGCAAATTCAATTTTTCTGTCCATTTTAGCACCAAAAATAAAATTTCTCGGTTCATTGTTTGCTGTTTTGCTAGAATCATGAGTGGTGAATGATCGATAGATGGAAAGTTATGATTATTACTGATTTACTGATATTTTAGATTGAATATTGTCCACTTGCTAATATTTCTTTTTTGTGTTTTCGCTATTTTGCTAGAATCATGAACAGTAAATGATTGATAGATGGAAAGCTATGATTATTGTTGATTTATTGATATTTTAGATTGAAAATTGCCCAAATGAATGCTCTTGCAATTTTTTGGGTAGAAGATATGTATGTTCTCAACAGTTACAATATTCATCGATCTTACAAGTGTAGGTAGTAGTAGAAACATGGAAGTAGCTGAAGTTGAAGGTGATCATGTTCCATCAGTAGTTCCAGAGCTCCCAAGTGAAATCATATGGTTTCTTATACTGCCAAGGCTACCAGCTAAGTCTCTGATGCGGTTCAAGTGCGTTTGCAAGTCATGGTCCTCTCTCATCTCCGGTAACCCTACATTTCTTGGTGTCCACCGAAACTTGCGCTGCAACAACAGCAGGTACACTCACCTCCTCCTCAATGTCTTTGACTGCAACACAGGCCACGACCACTTGCTCTCCGTCCAAACCAACCAAGATGGAGATGGAGATGGTAGTACCTCACCTGCCAGTGCCACCCACCTTCTAACACTGTCCCCTGACTATCATCTCTACGATTATCAGTGTACTAATGGCCTGTTTTGTATTTTTTACTTTGCTAAACCGGTAGCCACTAAAACCCAACATGACCCCGAGGACCACGTTCATATATTTAATCCCTCCACTGGAGAGTCGATCATTCTCCCCCATACTTCACTGTCCAAATACACACTCCAGATTAAAGGCCACTTTGGGTTCAGTCCTTTTACAAACGAGTATAAGCTTCTCCAAGTCCAATTGTGCCATGATTGGACTTCAAATCTCTTTAGTTTAAAGCTCAAGATTTTGACTTTGGGTTCTGATTCATGGAGGTGCATTGAGGTTGACCTTGATCAGCTCCCTTTTAATCCCCTTTCTTCCCACTTGTATGGTGAAAGTGTGTGCCTTCATGGAGCCCTACATTGGATATATCAAGATGGTGAGGATAGGAGTAGGATAGTGGTATTTGACCTTGGAGAGGAGAGATTCAAGGTCATCGCAACTCCTGAAGATGATGGTAGTGATCCCTGTTGGACAATTGCTGAAGTGGGTGGACGTCTAGCTCTAATGGATGACAAGGATGCAATGCCACAGAAATTAATGTTGGAGTTATGGATTTTGAAGGACTACCAAAATCAAGTGTGGGCTAAAGAGACTATCAATTTTCCCTCCCATTGGCGGGAGTCAACGTACCATCATTTGAATTCTTTACGTACAATTCACACAGGTGAGCTCTTCATTCAATCTTCACCGGGAGTACAGGCATCTCTTCATTTCTATGATATGAAGAGTAATAGTTTTTATAAAAGTTCAATTGTTTTGCCTGATCGGATATGGCAGAATGATGGTGATGCTCGGTTGGGCTTAATTACTATTTATCATGAAACCCTTGCCCCCTTAAGATTATAATTCATGAGAATGGAGATGGAATAGCATTTCATTTCGTTTCATTATTGTAAAACATAATTAATGGGTTGATTCTTGTGCAAGAGAAGAAGGATTTGTACTACTGGACATATATTTTCTCTTTCCCTTTCCCCTTCCCTGCTATACCATGCTTTAAGCCTTTACCATATTATAAAGGAAATAGGATCTGAACTAGTTGTCAAGTTTTAAAGTTTTTCTGTGAACATGCGATAAGTGGTCAGCCTTTTGATGCTAATTACTCTTTCGTTTGGATGAGGGAAAATAATTCAGTATTTAGCTAGAAGTCGGGAATTTAAGAGGAGAAATTGACAATTCTCTTGTTTGGCAACTTAAGTGTGGAATTCATTAAATGACACACGCAATTAGATTAATTTTATGAGTAAGTTCTATTTGGTTGATGTGCTTGCCTCGCCGACCAAAGTAGGTTAGAAAATGAACAGCATTCTTGCACTGGATTTGAATGATTTTTCTTTTTTGGGTTCTCAGGAAATAGTAAACTATATATATCAATATTCACAACAGATAACATCGCTCAAGTTTCTCATTTGGGTTATGCTCAACTGCACTAGAAAAAATCTTCAGTCCAGAAAAAAAGGAAAAAAAAGAAAGAGAAAGACATCATTATTCAAATGGAATGGTAAAAGATGTGCAGAAAATGAGGCTTTTACAAAGTCAATGGCATCCTCAGGGTCAGGAGCAACTTTAGGGCATGTTTACGTATCAGTAATGAAGAAAGTAAGGAATCAGAGAATTTAGGAATCGGGGAACTACTGAATCGGTATGGGAAGAATCATTCCCATTAAGCTGTTTACTAAACATATGGAATTAGAAAAGGAATAGGGTTGATTCCCATTGTTATTGTTTACTAATTTTCATGAATTAGAATCCAAATTAATTTGATTACTAAAATGCCCTGCACATTTTCACCACAGCACATGTATAATTCTCAAATTGTCTAAGGAGACCAAACTAATCCAGTAGAAAACTAGTAAGGCGGTGTAAACATGAGGAATCAATATGTTGAACAAGATGCACAACAAGAGGCTAGTTCAATGATAATGTTAATAACACCTTTGTCAAGATCCAATTTCAAACAAAAAAATAAACTCCAATAAATATATATCTTTCACCTACGTAACTAGTAAACAATCAAATAATAATGACCTGCATAATCTTCATACTACCAAAAAAAGAGATATATAATCTCCACAAAAGTCTTTATCTATGACCGTACTATGTTTTGTGATGAATGTGAAGACAGAAGATAGATAGATAGAATGATTTACATAACAAGGCGTTGCTGCTGCTAATGGGAGGTTGTGTCTACAACGATAACGTGAAAATGAAGTTGGAGCGTCTTGGTACTTCTTAGCGTGAGTTTTTATTTCTTTTTAGGGTTTGGAGTGTTTTGTAATTATGGTAAAGTAGTAAAGGTATTTTTGGAAGTTATTAAGAGAAAACAAGAATGGGAATCGTATCGACTACTCCCCCCTAGGTGATTTGATACCCAGTTTTTAGGGGATGTGATTACGGATTTTGAGGTGGGGCCCACTTATTTTTTTATACCTGATTGCAAGTAAACGCAGGGGAAGTCAGGAATGGAAATCATTCCCTTTCCTCCCATACCCATTACTGATACGTAAACATGCCCTTAAGATATGTTTCTCTTTTAATTGTTCTCTTTTAATTGTTACAATTTTCTTATTATATTGTCAAGTGAAGCAATTCAGTCTGAATCACGCTTAAATAACAAATCATAATCATGTTGCGATGATGTTGTAATTTAATGAATAGATAATATATTTCATCTTTTACTTTTAAAATAATTACAAATGATACTTATGTTTTGAGAAAACTAACTTTAAATGACACAAAAAGTATGACAAAAATCCGTAATTTTATCTTTCATTTTTACCTTTATGAGAGGTGACATATAATCACGAGAAAAATCAAATTTTAATGACAAATTAATCATGAGAAAATTTGTAAAATTGTATCGTTCATTTTTTACTTTTACCACAATGATAGGTGACACTCATGTAGCGAGGAAACCAATTCTCAATGGCAAATTAATTATGATCGAAATCCGTAAATTTTTATCTTTCATCTTTTATTTTTACAAAAATGACATATGTTATGCCGTAAAGAAACCAAACCTCAACACATTAGTTGTGATAAAAACTCACAAAATTTTATCTTTCATCTTTTACTTTCACAATAATGACAATGCCACTTACATTGTGAGGAAACAAACCTCAATGACACATTAATTGTGGAAAAATCGTATATTTTTATTTATCTTTCATTTTTTATTTTGATGACAAAGACAAATGACACTCATGCCGTGAGGAAACAAAACCTCAATACACTTTAATTATGATCAAAACTCGTAAAGTTTTATCTGTCTCCTTTTGCTTTCAAATCGATGACAAATGTGAATCAAATTGCGAGGATATGATTACTCAATCAAACATTAATTATGATCAAAACCCATAGATAATATATTTCATCTTTCTTTTACGACAATCACAAATGAGTACATTTTTGCTCACCACTTTAACCCAAAATGTACCCTCACCAACCTTCTTAACACATGTCCATGAGTATATTTATGGTTCCACAAATACAAAGCAAAGAACTAACTATGGTTATGTCTATAGACACATGTCAAGTGTTGAGAATAATGGCTTGGGTAGTGGTGAGCAAAAATATTTCTATTACAAATTACCCTAATATTGTGAGGAGAGTAAAACTCAATAGTACATTACTCATGGACATGTGTTGAGAATGGTGATGAGAGTACATTTTGGATTAAAGTGGTGAGCAAAAATATTTCTATCACACAAATAATAATAATAATAATAATATCAAAATAACAACTTTTTATAATTAAAAAAAAACCTATTTTAAGTCAGTTGATTTTTTCGTCGGTTTTAATTTTAACTTTTGGCCCGTTTGGTTCATGGTTTTGTGTGAGAGTAGTGTGGTTTTAATTTGAATCTCAACCCACAATCCATACACATAGTAAGAAAGACAGAGATTGAAATGACTAAACCATTAGATTTAACTATCAGAAAAAACTTATGCAAATGCTTCCAATGCTGCTCTATTGACTCAGAGAAAATAAGAACATCATCTATATATACTATGGAGAAATGACTGTAGGCATTAAAGATTTCATTCATAATATTCTGGAATTCACTAGGGGCATTTTTTAATCCAAAAGGCATAACATTCCATTCATAATGACCAAAAGGGGTAACAAATGCAGTCTTATACCTATCTGATTCTTTAATCTGAATTTTCCAAAACCACTTTTCATATCAAATTTACTAAAGATAACGGCCTTCTCTAACCTGTTAACTAAATCTCTTTTATTAGGGATTGGATACCTAATCCATTCTAAGACTGAATTAAGGGGCTTATAATTGATAACTAGGCGTGGGGCTCCTCGTTCTAATTCGGCATTTTTCTGAACATAAAAAGCTGGACAAGACCAGGGAGACTTACTTTTTCTAACTATTCCTTTGTTAATTAAATCCGTGACCTCGGCTTTGCATAATTCCATTAATTCTTGGCTCATTTGAATTGGACGGGCTTTGGT